TCTCAAAAAAAAAAAAAAATATATATATATATATATATATATATATATATATATATATATATATATATATATATAACGATGGATCTAGACAAATCTCTTATCACAGCATTAATAATAGGATCACAAAAGTAGATGGTATTAGTTTGGTTTGATTAGATGAAATCAACACTTGATTTTCATTAATTTTATATGAATTGCATTAGATAATTAAAAATTAATGTTTTTTTATAACCATAAAATTCATTGTAACTTCACTCCACTTAATCCCCAACTTCAGGGTACTAGGTACCGCAATTAATTACGTCATCTCTTCTCCACTAATGAAATCGAATTCCAGGTTTTGAAGTGATTTTGTCACCCTGGTTGGCCAATGGGCCATCATCTAGTGGGTATTAAAAACTAATGTTAGGCTAATAGAAAATCCAATTATAAGTTAGATCCATCCATAAACATGCTTATATTATATAAATATATCATTGGAAACATACGTTTAGGATATATTTGGTGATTTATGAATCAAGAGATTCAAAAGAATAGAAAGAGGGGAGACCGAATGGACCTCATTCATGGAGTCTTTGGCAGATTGAGCCGCATTCGAAGCCTTCTCCATCATGTTGCTTGCTTTCTCCTGCAATTTTCAATTCCATATTTCTCCTTTATCAGCTCAATACATTTTGGCATTTAAAATTAAAAAATAAATAAATGTTATACATTTTCACAAAAACAACATCGTATTATGACAAAAAGAGAGAGAGAGACCTGGGTTTGGCCTTTGGCCTGGCCAGCTTGAAAGCTCATCTTGTTGCTGTTGTCAGCCATTGTTTTTTTTTTCTGTGATGATTCTTCTTTTAAGGACTTGGAATTTTCGTTCGATAATGTGATTTTTGTGGTGATTCTTTTAAAGACTTGAAAGATTTTTATACTTGTCAGGACTTTTGCCACGTGGCGGCCTACGAGTGATTGTTGGTGCAGCTTGACACTTGGCAGTTCAGAAGTCCGAAGCTCTAGCAAAAACTGTTTGTGGAAACACAGACTGGTTCAAAGCGGCTCTGTTCGTTTATTGCAGTGTTACCTTGTCTACCACTCATTATTATTTATCTACTTTTAATCTATAATAAAATACTTCGTGAATTAAGTTTATATTATTATTATATCCATGCACACCATTTAAAATTTAAATCCACTAATCATACACAAGTTTTGAACTTTTTTTTTCCTGATGTTTTGCAAGTTTTGAACTTTCCTTCTTGAATTAACAATTCAAGATGTGGAGTGGTTGAAAAACTCAAAATTTTAACTTTTTAACATGACATATACTCAATTATACAGAAACCAAATCGATAACCGTAATCGGATTGGATCTGATATAAAAATTGGATCATTACAAATTTTCTTAAGATCGAAACAGAGGCTCTATAAAAAAAATTAAAAAAATATTTGGAAAGTGAGGATTTTCATCATTAAAAACCAAATCTAGACCCAATACAAAATTAAAAAAAAAAATGACCATCAGAAATTTCTTACTATGGTAGTGAAAGAAAGAAGAAAAATGTCACGTATTTGGGCGTTGTAAAGAATCAAAATTTCATTAGGGAAAAAAACAAAATCGGTACATTATTTAATAGGTGGAAAAAAAATATTACGAACTAATTAATAAATTAAAGAGGAATTTAATAGACGATGAGGATGACAAGGACAATAAAAGTCCATATTGACAGACAGAACAAAATATAGGATAGGATAAATGGAATCGTGTATAGGCCTCTCAAGCATGTGTAGCAATGCATGAAAGTATATACAGATGTTCATGTATGTATATGTGTAAGCAAGTAGACGATACATAACAATCCACCAGTGGCCAGCAATAGACCTAATCCAAACAATATGGTCTGTAGTGCTTTCTATGCCACACCACAGTGACTTTTACAGTTCACTCACCAGAATATTTACATTACAAACTACAACAAAACGGAGCTAGAAGATGACGGGGATAGGGTTCAGAACAACAGGAGGCAGAGGAGGATGCAGCAGAGGAGAAAGATGGTGACCCGATTAAGGGATTTCTCGATCTGCATCTCCTGTCTTCTCATCCTGTGGTTGTTCCCACCGATGGAGTTCGGGTTTCGGTAAGAAGGGTGAGCTAAAGTGTTTGTGAATGTCCCGAATATACGCGTATACACCATGTCTCCAAACATTCCGATCACTGGGTTGACAAAACTCGTCATCACTGCGTTGGCAAGATCTGTCGTTTCCATTGTTGTGAAGCTGCCACCATTGTGACGAGGGGAATGTTGCAGAGACTGAGGAGGCTGCAAGTTTGGGTTCAGGGCCGGAGCCGAAGTGGTCAGATTGTTTAGAGCGGTAGGGGACGGTCTCCGGGGTATGATCATGTTTTCTGGGTCTTGTTTTTTGGGGGCGAACGTGGAGGAAGACATGCCTCTTCCGTATAGGGGAACCAAAGAACCGATAGAGATGGTAGCCTTGCAAACTGGGCAATTCTGCTGCTGATCACTGGAGACGGAAGATGTTTGGACATGGAACCACTTGTAGATGCAAGGCCAGCAGAAAAGGTGTCCACAGAGGGTGACAACTGGGTCATGTGCCGTGTCTAAACATATGTTGCAATCAAAACAGACAGTGTCGTTGGCTTTAACTGCCGTAGGACCAGAGACGGGATTAGGTTTTTGCTTGACTACAAAGCCGTCATCATGAGCCGGTTGAGCATCAGATCTGAAGAAGCTTCCTTCCATGGGGGTAAAACCTGTTCAGGAAAATTTGATATATTATCACGGAAGTGCAATCTTATATGAACCCACCAAAGGAAGAGTATGACATTCAAATTGGTATGCCCAACACAAATTCATTTTCTGAAGCACAAACTTTGCGAAAATTCAACATCCAAAAGAACTCTGTCGAACCACTGATCCAATGGAAATACATATGAAATGATCCATGGGTATATATGCTAATGAAACAAAGGTAGGTCTTACAGACGATACAATATCGTGAAAAACGTCAAAGGTTTTGATCTCCTAAGAATGAAAACATAAACGATTTTATTATTCAAACATCATAGCATGACTTTAGGTTTCAGAATTCTCGTGAATTCTGTAAGATGAATTTTGATAACCCATGGCGAGGAAATAGAAAGGGAGACGATCATCAGATTGACTTATCATGTCTAAAGATGAAAACCTAAAAAAAAAAATCCAAAAAATATATGCATCATTTTCACCACAAAAAAGAGAACCCTAGGATCACCAATCAGGAACCCCCCCCCCTATTCCGACGAAGCGCAATTCAAAATTCTCAACCTTATTCTAGGTGAAAATCCCATTCCATCTAGTTCTCCTAAAACAGAAAACGGAGAGTCAACAGGAAGATGAATCATTCGACATTGCGGGTCCTAAATTCTAAGATTACGGACATAGAAACCGGATCGGGGAACACAGGAATCGGAAAAATCAATAGAGAAGAGGAACGGACAACTACTGAAGAGACAGATGACGACGAGGAAGGAGAAGGAGAAGGAGAAGAAGAACATACCTTGACGGGAGACGAAGAAGACGACAAGAGTCGAGCTATGGAATCGCGAAGGAGCAGTTTAAAGAAAATACAAAGAAAGAAGGAGAAATTCTGCGTATGGAGACGTGATTTCCACGTACCTCCGCATCGCGTCTTATTTATAAATAAAATCCTATAAAAAAAATAGGATTTAATCGGAATTAACTGCCTCTTGGATAAGTTTTTAATCTGAAAAAACCTCTAGAGACGTTCGTGAAAACCATCCTTTGACCATTTTTCTTTTAATAATGTTATATACACGTATGCGTTTCAAATTTGTTAAAAATAAAAGTTACTTGTAACAAAATCTGAATCTTTATAGAAACAACAGAATTGATATAAAAATCGAACATCTAGATTTTTTTTCATACGAAACAAAAAAAAACGATAAACCAACACTATAACAAATTAACAATAACGAAGTTAAATATAATTCTAAACAGCCAAATTCGTAACCTTTAGATTCTGCTTAAATTTGATTATTAGTTGTAATCGTTACAAGAATGGAGAGACTCTTTAGGCCAAAAATCTAATTTACATGGAAGCTTCCGCCAGCGTCAGAGGGTTCATGTCTGCGCCTCCGAAACACCTATCTCGTTTCTCAGCAGACAAGAGGTTGGGAGTTCCATGGATGTGTCCGAACCTTCTAATAGCTCCACTGATACATGGCGGTGGTGGGAATCGGGTTCTTCTGCTTCAACTTCCTCCCCCTTCTCTTCTTAGAACTCACTTCTCTCTCTCCCCTCGGCTCACTTGCCACTGCATCTCCTCCTTCCCCCTTCTTCTTCTTTCTAGACGAAGCTCTCCTTTTCTTTCTTGAGGACTCTGCAATGGCGGAAACGTCGCCGTTATTCAAGCCATGCCCTCTTGGGAATGGCTCATCGTCCTCACCGTCAAGCTGCCAATTGCAGAAAAGCCCGCCGCTTTGGCCGTTGGTGTGGAGTGGCTCACCGGCTCCAGGAAGCAAGGTGCTGAATGTGACATCCCCGTTCTGGCCTCCTTTCCGCTGTAGCAAAACCGGGTCTGGTCTGATTATTGTCCCCAGGATGCTTCTGTTCTGTCCTAATGCTTGAATGGTTTTCGCGTTTGATAACGTCGAGAAGGCCATTGCAAAGGCTGAGCGGATCTGTAAAGAATAAGAACCTCGTCTTTTGAGTAAAATTCACGTTGAATATAGTTGAAGAGATGGAAACGGCAAAAAGAACAGGCTGACGGACCTGGAAATAGTTGAAAGAGTTCTTGCCAACATCATTCTCTGGTGCCTGATTGTTTGACAAAAACCCGATATCGTTAATAGAAGCAAACAAAAAGCTGAAGTTTTGGACAACCGAGTGATGTGAAGAATCACTCTGTGTTTAGTTTTTTGAGAGACCGTTAAGGGACAACCAGAACTGTTATTCTCTCATGCTTGATTCCTCTAAAGATTGAAATTAAAGACCATAGTTTGAAGCTGACCTGCGGATCTTCAATGGAGATGAGACCAGGCCGATTGTTATTCACAAAACTGGAGAGAGAAAAATGCACATAAATATAAACAGATGCTTATCCGAGATAAGATTAGATGCTTAGAAGACGAGAATAAAGAGTAAAAAAATGAAATGGATATTTGCCGATATACCCTTTGCTGCTCTTTGAATAGAATGAACCTCCCATTTTGCAAGATATACCAACATCTATGGTGTTCAACTTTCGTCCATAAAGGTCAAAGAATTTAACCTGAAAAACACACACATGTAAGATTAAGTCAAGCAATTGAAAGACAGACAGATGCAAATCCTACTCTAAGTAAGAGGAGACAGAGAAGAGTTACCAGTAGAACTCCCAAGTTATGTTCTGGGGAGGTTCGACCATCATTGAGGAACTGTTGCATTACAAAACCAGGGGTAATTAAATTATTTGGGTTTGGCAAAAACTTAAAAAAGACAAATCTTTGAAACGTTAAAGAAACTGAGAATATAGAGTCCATGTTTGTCATGACAAATTTCAGAATGAAAAACCCACTTGCCTTAAGAAACGTTATGAGCATTGCAAGGAGGGCATATGAACCGATTCCACCAGAATACACCTGCGAGATACAACAACAATAAAAAAATATTTGAATGTTTGGATTTATGTATAAATTATAACTTAATCATCGATAAATTTAAAATTTAAATACATTTGCAGACCTCGTTGAGTTCTCTCTGCTGTAAAAATACTTTTAAAATTAGACACAACGGTCGTAGAGGAGGCCATCTTGATACTGCATCCTGGAAGTTAACAGAACATAATCATGTGAATACACAGAGTAAACATGAGAAAATTCTGAAAATTTTAGTATGGTTAACAATCTCTAGAAAAAATTATGAGCACAAGAGAAGAAGACAGGTGTTGTTACAAACCTGTATAAACTCAGCTGCCTTTGGTCCATTATCCATATCAAAACTGTGAAGCCATTGACAAACTTCAGTGGTTTATATAAACTGAACTGGCATATGTTCTCAATAAAGGCAAAAGGAAAAGTCTACAAAGCATATTTTGTTGAGAATCTTTAAGCTAAATATCACAAGTTTCTACATCAGTTGCCAAGCATTCAGACAGACTTTCCTGCTTTGTTTCCCGAACTAGAGGAAAACAGGGAAAAGAAAAAGCCTGATAACCTAGAATACGATTTGAAGAGAAGATAGAAGGTAAAACAGAAGAAGAAGATAAAACCTTAGATCAAATGCAATGTCACTTTTCTTCTCGACAAACTTAATAATAGGGACACGAGCCTTACCGATAACCTGAACAAGATGACCAAATGTGAGACAATGTATCTCTTTGAATATCAAATACTGCTGTATGATACAGAGTCGAACAAAACCTGTATATTTTTTGCAATTCCCCTTTGTGCCAATGCCTTGGAAAGTGCTCGTAAACCAAGTTGAGGTTTCGTGATACCTGATTCCAGAATCACAACCTATATACAGCAAAAAGTGAAACAAAGACAAGAAAATCTCTTTCATCTCAAGAATATTAAAAATGACTAACTGTGACGAGCACCGAATGACATCTTCTGCAAAATACAATGTCATATAGTACACATAATTATGACTATCAAGTATCAACCCATATGACTCGAAAAGGGGAAAGAAAACCAACTGATAGATATGTCTGTGAGACGAAAGATGTTGAACTCGGTACTACTTCCTAAGTGACAATGCCCTAGTTTAATTAACTCTATACATTATATAACTTTTAGTTGTACTATATTATAATGAAACTAAGAAAATAACACTTACATCAATATCACTTGTAGGAAGATAAAGTCCCGTCCGGTATGACCCAAAAACCTCGACCTATCATGGAGGAAAGGAGGAATTAAAGATTGCAGTTTTCGATTTATAGATATTACAAGAGATATTACAGATTCAAAGGTAATACCTTGCAACTTGGCCAGATATATTTAATCACCCCTAAGACACTTTCCACGGCTTCATCTCGTTTTGCCCTTTCTTCTTGAGTCGGTGATAGAAACTCACAGAACTCAACTATTTCTGCAATGTGAAGATAGAAGCAGATGTTCATGGCAATAACTTCAGTAACAAGTATATTCATCATCAGCTTCTTGCCTTCTAATGAATAAATTCTAATCAGAGTTTGATCATACAAGAAACGCTGATCATGGAGCTTAATAGCACTGTAAAGAACAGGAATTTACACAATAAGGACCTTGATTAGCGAAATAATTAACAGACCAATTCTTGTTCAATGTATACAGCTTTCCATAGTATTCAGTGAGAAGCAAACCCAATAAAGCAATCTCAAGTTCAAACATCTATAGTAAATGGACAATTCATCAAAAGAAGTATTTTCCCCCAAAAAAAATCGAATCTTCACAGTAATTACGTTCAATACCTTTATGCAACTGGAGCATTGGGATCTTAGAACAACTATTCCCGCTAAACCAGTTGCTCTCCAACATTGGTTCCATGCTTTTTTCTTCTGCTTCTCCACCTTTCTTCCTCTTTTTGTTCTTCTTCGTCGAAACCACAGGCGTCGCGGGTTCGGCCCCCTCGAACCGATCCCCAACCGGGTCGGGACCATCCGGACCGGCACCGACATCGAGTGAGAAAAAATCCGGCGCCGACGATGCTACCGATGTGGGATCGAGGGTCGACAGGGAAATCTCGTTGCGGAAAACGGAGTATCGTTGCGAATCGTCATAGTCAGGAGATTGATTCAATGGCGTAGATTGGTCAGAAAGCGGGAACGAGAGTGGGCTCAGAGCGTGGTAGACGAATGTTGGAGCACGCGTCTCCGTCTGAGTATCCATTGGAGAGAGACTCGCGGAGGCGAGAACTCGAGGGTTTAGGGTTTCGAAGCCGCCGGGGACGAGAAAGACGAAATACAGCTCAAGAGAGCCTGCCAGAAGGGAGATCAAAAATTATAAATAAGGAAAATATAGAAAGAGAAAAAGTATTTAACTTTTTTTAATTTTTAAAACTCGATTTTCTAAGTTTATAATATTATATGCAAGGATGAGAGTAAAAGATAAAGAATGACAGTTGAGATTACTTAACAAAAGAATTATATCAGTGTATTCTTAAATTAGGACAATCTCATAAAAATACACATGTAAAATTGGAAAAAAAATTATACAAATTTTAAAACAAATAAATTACATAAAATATTAAAATATGTTTAAGACAATTTATCTTTTGAAATTTAAAAGTAATTTTGTAAACAAATATATTAATATTTCAATCCATGTGTGGAAATTGTTTTCGATATTCAATAATTGAGTTTTTTTTTTAACATTGGTGTATATTTTGTAACATATTTTCCCGATTTCTTAAACTTTATGTTTTGAGATACTGTTCAAACGTGATTCCCAATCGGTTCAGGACCGGTTTAGTGGTTTAGATTCATGTCCCGGTTGAACCACTGGAACTGGTATGACCTCTGGACAGTAAACAGAGAGAGTTCATCTTCACCATTGAAGTCTTCTTCGAAGCTCGCTCATTCAAAGATGACTGACAGACTGAAGCATGTTCCTGATCTTTGTAATAAAAACCCATCTGAAAGTTTCGACAGAAAGAAGCCATGGATTTTACATTTAAGAACATTTATTTACTCTTCCATGGCCTCTGTGAGCTACAGAACCTAAAGCTTCTTCTCTGTAAAATTAGACCTATAACCTGTCATTCTCTTCTTACAGGTAAAGAAGAAGATCTCGAAAGCGATTCCATGGCTTCTGTCCGCAGGTCAGTGCCAGTTGCGTATGTGATGGAAGCGCAGGGTCTCAACAGAGGCGTCCCGACCCTGCTCGAGGTCTCGTTAGCCACCGGGAAAGAAGCGTTCTTGCTCTCGGTCGGCTCAAGCTCGAGCTCGGGGGCCTGAGCTGGTAAAGTTTCCGGGATTTCGAGCATCTGATGATCGTATTCCTCGACCGATACAACCGTGCTGGTTTCAGTCCTGACAGTCGAATCGTCGCCATAAAACCCGTGCCTTCTCTTCCATCTCGCGGCTTTTCCCCACCCGCGAATCGTCTCTCTTATCCTCTGCGGTATCAACGCCGCTTTATAGTTCGTTCCCATCTGAAAAATTTTACGGAGTCGAAACCCGAACCCTTCAACCTCGAGTTTCCGAAACTTTTTCGAGAGACTGATCATCAAGCAATTCACTCACCTGAGTGACCAGAGCATACAATGGCAGAGTGCTGTAGCTGCATAGAAACTGTCCCGAAAACCTGCGAGAAACGGACAATATCTCACGCAATGTCCGGAACGATACAATGCAATTACGCGACGATATCGAGATCTCGATTAGTTTACCCCAAAACAAGCCGTAAGTAGACAAGCAGGTGATTCCTGAGGAAGCAAGAGTTGTACCCGAACTGCCACTGAAGAAACACGATCAGAACAAACGTATATGTCAGTTTCGATCACGGTTTTTTAAGTCCTAAAATGCGAAAAACCGATCGTTTTCGGGTGCAAGATGATTTTGAGACTGGAAAATTTACCCAGAACCAGAAGAACGACGCCAGTTCGAAAGCGTTCTGCAAAAGGAGACGGAGAACAACATGAGCGTTAGTTTACAGAGATCGAACGATTCTTCTTCCGACAAAAAAAAAAAGGAGAAGGTTCCGAAAAATTTCGGCAAGAACCTGAAACAGAATGAAGTGGATGAGGTACAAGAGAAGTTCTGGTTTATTGAACCAGAAAAGCTCGTCTCGAGGTCTCAGCTTTGCTCCCGAAGAATACTCTGTGATTCCGGCATTCTCCAGCGCTAAAGTCGCGATTACATGTTGCAACTTCGAACCGACCAGAAGAACAAGCTGTTTACGGAAAACACTGAAGATGAGAGAACGCATCATAACAATGAATTTCACCCGAGAACTCGGTAAGTTTTAGCTCTTACAGTGATAGGAATGATGGCTATCCAGAAATAGAGATTTGATCCTGCAGTAACAAAAGGCAAAACCTTTAGGCATTGTGACTAACGCATTCGAAAACGAGAGATCACCCGATAAAAGGGACGACACGATGACAAAAACTACGAAACCAGATTCAGAAAAGGATATGGTTTCGTAAAATCTTTCACAAACCGGAAGCTATTATCGAAATTTACTCGTACCTTTGACGTTAAAGAGCATGAAGGCTACTACGAACCCCCAAAGCGTACCGCTGCAGAAGATCATAATACGATTTTTTCGGTGCCGCGAATTAGTTTGTATGCTCGATGAACAACAGAAATTCTCTTAAGGGTTTTTTTTTTTTCCTCACCTCACTCCAACGATACGTTGGAACTCTTCCTCCATAGAACGGATCATATAGCTGTGGAAATCGTACTTCAACGTGAGGTGGTGATTCTGTCCAGACAAAAAAACCCGGAAACGAAAAAGGATTGAAACGAAACCACGAAGTAATGAACACGGAAGGGGATCGATCACATTTCGAGCATCACTACTATGCAGTTTACATTTCAATTATTTAGTTGAGAAAATGATGATAGAATCGTGTACAAGTTCGCGAAGATTGACGAAAAGAAAAGGCTCGATTTCATCTAGAATTCTCGTATAACAATGTCACAGAGCATAACGTACCAAGATGAATCCCTTCCGGAGTGTTAGGTAGTCAGAACGAACAACAGAACGTCCAAATTGTCGGAAGAAACACGTCTGCGAGAATCAAAATTCAGACAACTCGAGATTAGATGAAACTGAAGCTTGCAAGTTCTCCGTAAACCAGACAAGAACTCCGCCTTTTTCGGTTTGCTTTCTCGTTAATCATCATACAGATAATCAATCAGAAAAAAAAACATGTTTACACATCAACTCTATAGAAACAAGATAGAAAATCTAACCACCCATATAAGCAATCTGTTCTTGGCCATTGGAGCAGACGTATGATGCCGAACGAAAGTGGTTTGCCTCCGGAATACCTTCTCACGTGTAACCTCTGCCACAACAACAACGATTCAATCAAATTCCATAATCTTTTTACCATAATCCAAGCTTTGAAATAGTTCATGAAGCAGATGTATCATAGAGAAAACTTGTTAGATCCAAACCCGGGAATTCCCCTCGAAATATAGACTTCAAGAAAAGATACCGAAAAAAAAACAAAGAAGCTCATACAAATTCATGAATGCTCTTAGTCTAGATTCTGTCGTGACGATCTTAGAACTCACCAGTCAATGCATCATGCCGATCCATATGAGCCTCGTCTTCCCAAACCCTCCAACTATGAATCTGAACAAATATGCAGACAGACCAATCAAACTGTTAGTGAAAAAGGGTCGTCTCCAATCATAATCGAGACGTAATAGAACGACTCAGAAACCTCGAAAAACGAAAACTTCAGACGAAAAAGACGGTATGAACATAAAAGATACTACCTTCACAATTGCAAGCAGCATAGTTAAGCAGCTATATGCTATATGGGTAATCGCCATTATGAAGATGAATCGATGCAACTGCTCCAAGCCTTCATACGAAACAAATGGCTCGTGCCCCTGCCCAGTGTAAACACAATTAGCTCTCGGAAACGGCCACTCGAATAATCAAAACGTCACTACACGAGAAGAATTCGATCACTAAGTTAGGATCGATGATGAACCTCGCTGCAAGTAGTAGTGGCGCTTATGCCATCCAACCTTCTCCTGAGGACGTGGAGAAAGAGAGAACCCGAAAGGAGTTTTCGCTCGCTGGACGACGAAATTTCGAGCTCGTCTTCGATCTCAGACCGTTTGCACGGAACGAATTTGTCGTTGTAGAAGCTAGAGGGGATGCATATGTTGGCTATGGTGCTAGATGTGGCTGTCAGAAGAAGTGATATGAACCCTAGAAGCATCAACTCTGAAAACGAAAAACCACCATTCCCAAAACCCAACAAAGATTCAGGACAGTCGAAATACAAAACGGATCATGAGAATCATCTGAGCTGATTATCATTGCCCACCTTCTTTCATTTTCTCCAACGCAGCAAACAAGGGTTTCCTGTTAGTTTTGCGCAGCCACTGTCACAGGACAAAACCCAGATGCGGTGATGGTGAAACAAGAACATAAGAACATAAAGATGGAAACTTTGGATCAAAAACAGGAAGAATGTTATTAACTTACGTAGCTAAGCCGATGAATGGAGCGTTCAACGATCAAGGAAACGACTACGAAGACAGTCAAAACAGTAGCAACCGACCAAGTCGGTGTCAATGCCAACGATCTCGTCTCGCTCGATTCTGATTCCTTACCCTTCTCTTCTTCCATTTCTGTAATCAGATGTTTTTCACACAACTTCTCGAAGATTTCCTCTGTTTTAGATTGAAATGGAATATATCTGTTTATGGAGATAACTGGAAAGCCCTAATAAATCACATTCCCAGATTCTGGGACACTTCCTCTTAACTCCGAGCTTTCGTTGCCGTTTCTACGTCAGCGAAAGGTGAAACCTTTGAAACCTCACCGTGTTCTTCGTGAACGGTGGATAAAACCCATAAATCAGATCAGCCAAAAAAAAAACTTTGATCTCTTCGGTTCGAACCCAGAAACCAGAAAGCCCACATCCACCGAAATCGATCGGAAAACTCCGAAATTGATTCTGCTACTACTTTCTGTCGCTCCCAAACACAGAAGCAATCAATGCCCCCTGTTTCTTCTTACAAAGAATCTCTCTCTCTCTCTCTCTCTCTGTGTGAGAGACTGTATGCAGAAAGAGCATAAATTACAGGATATTCAGCTCATGGAGAACACCTTGAAGCACCGATAGAGAGAGAGAGAGTTCGTTAAAAGAATAATAATATAAATTTTATATTTCTTTTTTTCTAAATTATATAAATACAGTACAGATCCTAGAAATCGAAACAAATATATATAATACTGTGGAAATCGAGAAATTAGTGAGCGATCAGTGATGGAGACAAAGCCAATACTTCCAGTTTTCTTTTTGGGAAGAGCGACAGAACAGAAAGCAACTTCACCATATGAGAACCAGCCTCGGATAATCTTCGTTTTTTTTTTCATTAACTAATTAATTAATTATTACACTATTTACCTCTATTGTGGCTCCTACTAATTGTAATGTAATTGTCACTTCGTTGGGACCGTATTTAAGAATCATGTCCATAAACTTCATGAAAATATAGATAAAATAAAATAAATAAATTTGTGGTCTATAAGAAATGTTGTTTTGGGAAACTTAACACACACGATCAAAGAAAATCATTCCATGCAATAGGTCATTTTTTGCTTGGGAAAGTTGATATAGTATTTATTAGATATTATTATATTTTTCTTGCGATTAAATTGTTTTTGTCATGTTAGAAAAATTAGTAGATGTATACATAATTTTATCATCTAATTAATAGAATACTAGAACTAATATTATTTGATAATTTGACAGTTTTATAAAATAAAATAAAAAAAAGTTGGCCAATATCAACTATCAACCACATGGAATGTACAGCATTTAAAATCGTTTCGATTTCCAAATTTATTAAATTGTTTTGATTTTTGATTTTTTTTTTTTGTCTGTAAAAAATAAATTAAAATTATTTATAGCAACAGTGATTAATTAATACTAGTTTTTCACCCAAAACATGTGGATTAATTGAATCAGTAATGACGAATTGACTAAATTAATAAAAATAAAAGAGCTGTCGGGATCTGTTAGGAATCTAAGCGGAAGCTACAAAAAGGGCTTTAAATGAATGCAGGATGTGAATCTATAAATTCCCGTAATTTCAGCTACATTAGTTTTCTTATTAATAGTGATATTTTATTGGAACTTTTTCGACCATATAATAATAATAATAATAATAATAATAATTTGGGTGGTTGGCATGTAGAGTGGTTTGGGGCTCCCATCCCACGTAAGTCTTTACTTTTCTACGTTACATGACAAAATGATGCCATGCGTGTGTAAAAAATTAGCCCCATCTCGAGAATATTCCCAAGTTCACAGTGCAAACAGAAAAAAAAAAGGTATAAAACTTATTTGGAGATTATGAATTAGATATTTTGGAATTAAATTACTTTTTTATTTGTATATTAGTTTATTTAATTTTAAAAAGGTTGGAAATTCATATCTATTAATGCTATATTTTGTTTTATTTTTTGTATTTTTTTGTCTAAAATATTTATTTTAAAAGAATATTTGTATTTTATGCTTTTTATATTTTTTTCAAAATTAAATTAATATATTAAAAAAATGGGTTTGAATTTGATTTAGTTCATTTTTTTTTATTGAATATAAAACTTATCTTCGGGTTGATTAGGAATATAGGGTTCAATTCATTTTAGTGTCCATACCTTATAGAATGCAAACCTAAAGAAAACTATTTGTTTAAATTTTTCATACCAAAATAATTAGAATTATAAAGTTAACCATTTTCAACGGACGATGACTTGAATCGCTCAAAATAAATATCCAAGATAAAATATAAACAAACATCGAATATATTATAATTATTATATTGTAGCTAGAACTTTTTGTATCGTTATGATCCGTAATAATTTCCACAGAAAATCCATATATCTACTACCAAAATTACACGCATGTTTTGACGTGATGAATATAAAACGATTGAATTAAACAAATTGCATTTCGTTTTTTTTTCATACAAAAAAATTAAAAAAATCGTTATAAAATAAAGTTGACGTATCACCTGCGGTGATATCCACACTTGCTCGCTTTTGATAACCGAAGATTATGGAGAAAGCGCGTCTCTGATTTTGACTTCTTATCGACCGTTCAAAGTCGACCGATGAGTCAATGGGATTAGTTGTGAATTCGTTACATAATATTAATTACATTTACATATAACATATACTTTCTTTCAAGGTCCACAAAATTTATTCTTACACGAAGAAAACGTATTGTTAAAATTTCGTAATAATAATATTTGCACGTTATCAAAAAAAAATATTTGCATGTTAAAATTTTGATGGATTCTGTTGAAATAGAAAAATTAATATGTGATTGAAGGAAATATTGATTTTAAGATATGATTAGAAATAATACATAATATTATATCAAATATTGTGTATCGATCTTATTTATTTCTATTTTTTTTTATTTCGTCTTATAGTTTTCTTATAAATATATGAGTCATTTTTATTGTAATTCAATAAGAAGAAGAGATGTAATAATAAAAATATTCTTGGTTTTATTTTTCTCTTCTTTTCTCTACTCTTTTTTTAATTTCTGCATTTTATTTTTCAATATGATCCACAATTGTTAACGATATCAACGACTCATCAACAGTTTTGCATCTTATTATTTGATAAAGAAATATATCGAATTTGATAATTTATTATAAAAATAATTGTAATTATTAATTTGGAAATCAACAACCAATCAGAAAAGATTTTATACGAGGTTCTAACAAACAAATTCGATGAAAATGGTCTTCATCGTCATGGCCTGTTTACAATAAATGAGGCTGGTTATATTTTGTAAAAAATAAATATATATGATTAGAGAAATGTATTATTGATGCAAGAAAGCGATTATGCTATTTGATAATTGGTGGAAATCGATGACGACACACGTTAAAGGCCATGTGAACGATGGTTACGTTTCCCCATCTTTCCAGCCTGTTTAATAATGTGTTTAATTATTACACAATTATAAATTAATAATCCCATCTTAAACAAAGCATGTGATGATATAAAAAATTATATATTAATCTAATATATGGTTAAACTTGAACGAAAAAGGGAAATACATTTTGAAATTGGTTTCCCAAAAAATCATTTTTAAAAAAATAAAATTCATCTTTTAATCTCCTAGTTTTATGTGATATCTTCATACAAATTTGTATTTATTTTATAAAATTGTATCTTATTGATGGATGAAGGAAATATATATTCGAAGTTTAAGTGTATTTTTATTGTAATTCTTGTGACGAATTGGTGATTGTAAATTTAATGGGTCGGTTATGAGTTGGTATTGGGTTGGATGATTTTGTCATTAATCAATCAATTTGAGAATAAGAAGAAGAAAAAAGGCCTTCCAGTCCAAGTTGGGCCAACCTCTTCATCGACGTTGGATAATTTAATTTTTAAATGACTCGGGAAATTAATTCATTTTCCCTTTTTAAACTAACGTTTTCTAGTGATTAAGGGGTTTTTTTTAGATATTTTTAAAATAAGATTTCAAACGCATGTTTTTAAAATTTAAAAGATTTTTTGGGAGCTTTCCCTTTATATATTAAATTAATATTCATTTTGGTTATATTCGGTTTTATATAATCAAATGAAATTTTTATCTAAGTGTTTTAATATTGTAAAATGGGAGGAATATTCTCTTTAAAGGCGACAAATAATATCCTCATTAAAACTTCAATTAAATTAATATTGTAAAATCAAGAGTTGGGAGATAAAACATATATCATATAAACCTTTAAAAAAAACCGGACATCAAAATGCTATTGTTGTATTAAATTTCTCACACATGTGTCTAAAATGATACTATAACTATACACAATACTTTAAATTATAATTATATTTTAGTTTGATTTTTTATTTATATATTTTATTTTGGAAAGTTTGCATCAGTTCATTTGTAATGTTGAATCTGGGACCGAAGTCTATTTTTATATAAATATTTATTATAATTTTTTTTAAAAATAAACATTTTCAATAAAACTAAAATTCGTATATTTTTTAGATCAAAATCGAATAACTGTTTGATCCCATGTCACAAACATTATATCATTTATATTTATTTTTAGATGTATAAACAGTTTTTTAGATAAAATTCGAACCACTGTACGTTTTGGTTATATATTATAGTCCATTTAAGAATGAAAAAAATAAATATTAGGAGGGTAATTTTGGCTGATAAGCGGATAATAACTATCAGGTAGAGAATCTTGTTGGTTTAGTTAATTAATTTTAGTATTAGTTGGTTTGGTTGATTCTTTGTTTTTGGTTTCCGATTTAGTTTTGAATTTTCCATTTTGGCGCTTTCTTAGTTTGTATAAAACCCTCTGTTATTTTTGTTTTTGAGATATATGAGAAAATTGTTCCACAAATGCTCCGTCTCTCTCGTTCTCCTCCATATTTTGTTATGGTATCAGAACGAAAAAGCTTCCGGTCTTCGATTTCTTTCGTTTTCTGATTAATTTCGTTTAATCTTCTTTGAATTTCTTCATTTCTTTTCGGATCTTCGATGGATTCTTCTGCGAATCCAGAAAATTCAACTTCTCCTATACTGGAGGACATTCCTTCGGCTACTTCGATTCCACATCCTTATGCAAGTCCTATGTATCTCCATGCCGCGGACTCATCTGCCATCCAGTTGGTTCCGGCTAAGGTCAAAGGTGTTTCGAACTACAATATGTGGTCTCGGGCGTTTATTAAGGCACTTAATGCCAAGAATAAGCTAGGATTCATCACTGGTTCATTTCCGAAGCCTAATCCGAGGTATCCTGATGCTGCTTTGTGGTCGCACACCAATGATATGGTATGTACCTGGTTGACTCATGCTATTGAACCTGATATCGCTACTTTGCTAGCATATATTGATGATGCATAGACGTTATGGAAGACTTTAGAAAATTGGTATAAACAAAGTAATGTTTTGAAGATTTATCAAATTCAATATCAGATTGATACCTTACATCAAGGGTCTATGGAATTAAATGCTTTCTACACTCGTCTGACTTCACTCTGGGATGGGATGAAGAATTATGAACCAATACCAATTTGTACTTGTGGAGGCTGTACATGTGGTAAATGTACATGTGGAGAATGTTCTTGCAAAATCCCTGAGCAATGGTCTGAGATTCATGACAGAATGAATGTGAGGTTTTTGATTAAACTAAATGAGTCCTATACTCCAGTTCGTAGGCAAATATTGATAATGGATCCATTGTCAGATATTACTCTGTTTATAATCTTGTGATTCAGGAAGAGCAGCAACGTATTTTGTTTTCCCTGACCAATGATCAGGCTGTG